ATCTATATACACTTAAAAGAATTGAATTTATACAAATGGTATACTCTGATCACAAAGGAATTAAATTAGTAACCAAAAACATATGGAAATCTTAGAATTATGTAGAAATTAAACAATATACTCCCATTGCATCAGAAGAAATCATTAGATAAATTAAAATGTTTTGAAAAACAGAAGCACAACATATCAAAACCTATGTGTATAGTACAGCATTACTTAGATGAATACATGTCCTTTAAATCTTAAATCAACAATCTAAGTTTCCACTTTAAAAAAAGGAACTAGCCAGGTGCAGTAGCACACACCTGTAATCCCAGTGGCTTGGGAGACTGAGGCAGGAAGATAGCAAGTTCAAAGCCAGCCCCAGCAATTTAGCAAGGCCCTAAGCAACTTGGTGAGACCTCTCTCTAAATGAAATATAAAAAATGGATTGGGTATGTGGCTCAGTTGTTAAGCACTTGAGTTCAATCCCTGGTAGCCCCCTCACCAAAAAAAAAAAAAAAAAAAAAAAAAGAAGAAAGAAGAAGGAAAGGAATGGTAAAGATTGGAGTGGAAATAAATAAAATAGAGGACAAGATATCAAGGAAACTAAAACTGGGATCTTTGAAAATATGTATCTTTAAAAACTGACAAAACTTTAGCTGCACTGATCAAAAAAGAAAGATGAATGTTGAAACTACTAAAATGAAAAAAAGACAAGAAATCAGTACTAACCCTGTAGATAAAAAAAAATGTTATAGAATAATACTATGAAAAACTGCATGTCAACAAATAAGACAAGATGGTTTCAAGAATGAGACAAAAGTCACCAAAAGTGACTTAAAAGCAAACAGACACAAGTAACATCACAGAAAATGTCAGAGTATAGGACTCCAGGGCTCTGTAATGAGCAATTGGGGAGCTAGACAAAACAGTAAGAATCAACATTCTCAGAACTCTGGAGTTCAGTCAAAAAGATAAAAACTTGGCAAAGAAAGAAACTTGGCAAAAAAAGAAACTGCTTTTTAGACAGAAATTTTAAATTGCCTACCTACCATGTCCCAGATTGGCAGAGAACTTTTGATGGCAGCCCATTCTCTTGGTTTAGATTACTAATTCTAGAGGTAAGGGATCTTATAGAATTATAAGATTGTGGGTTGTGGACATCTTGGAATCTCTCTGGAGGACTAGACTGGGAGCACGTCCAGGGCTAGGGTTGGTTTGGCTTTCTGGTTGACATTTTTCCAAAAGCATTTAAAGTCTCATATAATGGCCACAGCAGTCCAGGGAAAGAGACAACACTCAGGACAGCAAATAAATATAATGAGAATCCTGATATGCGAGAGTTTGGGAAAGTATATATGTGGAGGAACAAGCTTTAAAAACAAAACTCTCACATATACTAGGGAATTATTAATACCATATACACAAATGCAAGAGTGGGCCCCCATATTCAGCAAATATCAAAGAAGACTTAGGAATTCACTTTGGGCTAACCTTCAGGTTCTAAACAAACTGAAAGTAAAGCATTGCAATACGCCCCAATTCAAAGCTTATCAGCAAAGACTGGGACAGTCTTTCCTTCTCCCCCCCCCCACTTTTGTTGGCTCTAGGCCTTTAAAATAACTGTCCAAACAGAAGCCCACTAATAAGCTAATAAAATACTAACTCCACAGGCTGCACATAACAAAGAATGTAGAATTTACAGATATAATTTAAAAAGCTAATAAACAACAAATGATAACTCACAATAAAGATCAACAACAAAACCTAGGGAAGGGGAGAATCTGATTGCAAGAGTGAACATATTATAACCAAAATATAAAAATTCCAACAAAATTTGATGAAGCATTTAAAAAATCCTACAAGTATATCAATTTACAGGGAAGAATAAGTTATTAGAAACTACACAGGAGAAAGTTTTATATATTGAACCCACTAGATAAAATTTTTTGTGGTACTGGGGATTGAACCCAGGGATGCTCTACCACTGTGCTACATTCCCAGCCCCTTAATTTTTTTTTTTAAATTTCAGACAAGGTCTTGCTAAGTTGCTAAAGCTGGTCTCAAACTTGTGATTTTCCTGCTTCCGCCTCTGGAGTCTCTGGGATTATAGATGTGCACCATTGTGCCTAGCTTAGACAAAGTTTTTAAAAAAATATTTTTAGTTGTAGATGGACACAATTCCTTTTTTTATTTAGTTTTGTGTGGTGCTGGATATCGAACCCAGGACCTCACATATGCTAGGCAAGTGCTCTACCCCTGAGCTACAATCCCAGCTCCAGACAAAGATTTTTTTAAATTTTTTATTTTGTAGTTGTAAATGCCTTTATTTGCTTATTTTTAGGTGATGCTGAGAATCGAACCCAGTGCCTCATACATGCTAGGCAAGTACTCTGCCATTGAGCCACAGCCCCAGCCCTAAACAAAGATTTTTAATCAATTGTCTTAAAAATGCTCAACAAAGCCAAAGGAAATCATTGATAAAGGATAAAATGAAATGGGAAGAATGTCTCACCAAATATAGACTATGAGCAGGGAGACAGAAATATAAAGATAGAAATAATAAGATAAATTGTTTCTGGAGCTCAATAGTACAAAGACTGAAATGAAAAACTCTCTAGAGGGATAACAACAACAGATCTGAGCAGGTAGAAAAAAAGAATCAATGACCTTGAAGATAGGCCAATTTATGTAATCCAAAGAAAAAAGAAAGAAAAAGGATGTGCAAAAATGAACCAAGCCCAAGAGACCTGTAGGACTCCACCAAGCAGGCACAGGGAAAAAAATTGCCCAGCACAATGGTGCACACCTGTATTCCTAGTGATTTGGGAGGCCGAGGCAGGAGGATTGCAAGTTCAGCAATTTAGCAAGACCTTATCAAATAAATAAATAAATACTGAAAAATACTCAATTATAATGAAAAATACAAATCTATGTTTCCATGAAGTTCAATGAACTCCAAACAGAGTAAAGAGATGAAAAAAGACACATTATAGCCATCTTTGGGTTGGGTAGTGTTTTCACAAATGTGAAATAAATAAATGGAAAAGAAAAGGGAAGAAGAGCAAGCAGGAGTCAATCATAGCAGTCTGTTACAAATCAATTGTTTGATGAAGCTTTATCTGAAGTCCATATTAAAACATATTTTAATGCCTTCATTGTTAGCTATCTGATATTCTCCAGCAATGATTAACAGTCAAATGTAGGAGGGTAAGTTTTCAGTTTAGAGAGAGGCCAGCAGAGATGGCATGAAGAGTTGGTGGAATCAGTTTGGGATACAAAGACCTTTGAGGTTCCTAAGGGACATTTAGGCAGTGATATCCAATAGACAGTTGGCAAGGTAGGACAGATTTGGGGAGGGAATGGTCTAGACATGCAGATTGGGGAATCACTGGTGTTTAGAGGGAAGCAGATGAGACTGCCAGACAGAGAATATATGTGAATTGAGGAAAGAAGAAGCCAAGAAAGAAACTCTGGGAACACTGCCATTTAGAGTGACAACTCAGTTCCCTGACATGCACCACCTCTAGGCTCTGGAGTCAGATAGAGATGATTTTTAAAGTGATTGTGGGGTTCAGGAACTGAAAGCTCTTTTCAAAGCTGGGTACCCTCTCTGATCAGCTGTCATACCTGTAAAGAGCATCTGAGAAGAAAATTATGCAAGTATGCTGTGAGATGCTCCAGGTAAAGCACCTGGGTTCAGAAAGCCACCCCCTTCTTTTGTGTGAGCCAATTCCCTTTTGCCATACCCCCTCCCCATAGTCAGTAACTCCCCCAGTACCTCTTGTATGGGGGTAGAGGGGAGGTGGGGAGGGTGCATGGCGGGGGGGAATCCAGTTAGGGTGACGCGGTGTTCATGTGACTGGCTTGGAGCCGACGTGGGCACCAGCCCCCGCGCCCGCCAACCCTGCGGTGCGGTCCTGGACCCAGCGCCCACGCAGAACCATCTCTTGAAGCTGCTGCCTTGGCTGCTGCGAGCCCGAGGAGGCGCAGGCCTGACCCGGGTCCTCGCAGGTCAGTACAAAGGCGAGAGCTGCCATAGGACCCAGGGCAGGGGTGGAGGTGCAGCAGCAGACAGAGGGCGGGGGAAGGGATAAACGAAATCCATAAGGAGAGGGGCGCGTTTCGGGGTGGCACAGCGGAAAAGGAGGACCTTGCAGAGTTCCCGTTGCCTTCTCGACCCCCACATCCCTCCATCCATTTTAGCCCAAGCCATGGTGGGGCGGGGGTGGGGGGCACTCCCGCAGTGCGGCAGTGAAACGTAGACGCATTCTGGGGATAACCCCCTCTTACACTCTGCGCCTACGAAAACAAATTGAATGACCTGGCCGAAAGCGGGGATGGGTTGGGCAGGTCGCCTCTGGGGAGGGGGACACGCAGACTCAAAAGTAGTTTGGAAAGCATCCTGGTTTGGTGCCCAAGGCCTGAAAAGAAATGGCGGCTGGGGTGCAGGAGAGGGTAGTAGAGGAGAAGATTGAGTGAGGAGGGCCTGGATTCAGGATAGGGACCCGAGTCCTGGTCATTTCTGAGCGCCCCGCCCCGGCCCTGCGTCCTATCTGCAGGTCTGCGCATCTGTTCCCAGAGCTCTGGGAGGCCTGTAAAAGAGGAGCAACCCGCCCAGGATCTCTGCAGGTCAGTAGGGGGTGGGAGGAGGGAGCATGAACAGGGACCCAGAAGGGGTGAGAGTGCAGAGGACACGGCCCCAGGCAGACTGTGGTGCCCCACCACCCGCCCCCACCGCATGGATTGCACGCACCTCGCCACGCTGAAGCGGCATGGAGAAGGTGACGGACCTGCCAGGGAATGGTTGGCTCGCTGTGGGGGGAGGAGTGTGGGGTAAGGGACCTGCAGAGGCACACTCGGAGGGCCGGACCAGCTTAGGGGAACCCTCTTAAGGGCGAGATGCAATATTCTGTGGGCCTGCGTTACACCCCCAGACCTTCAGTCTCCCATGTCTCCTTTTTGTCTCCTCTTCTCTGCATCCCTACCCCCATGACAGAAGGAGAGGAAATCTCGACATGGAAAAACCCTACCGCAAAAATGAAGGAAAACTGGAAAACCAGGAAAAGCCAGAAGACGAAGTAGAGCCTGAAGATGAAGGAAAATCAGATGAAGAAGAAAAGCCAGACGAGGAGGGGAAGCCAGCAAGGGAGGGAAAGCTAGAGGATGAGGGAGAGCCAGAGGAGAAGGGACAATCGAAAGATGGGGGCAAGGCAGAAAAGCAGGGCAAGTCGGAAGGTCAGAGCAAGTCACCAGGGGAGGGCAAGCCAGAATCCCAGGCAAAGCCAGCCAGTGAGCCGCGGGCCGCCGAAAAGCGCCCCGCTGAAGATTATGTGCCCCGGAAAGCCAAAAGAAAAACGGACAGGGGCACCGACGATTCCCCCAAGGACTCTCAGGAGGACTTACAGGACAGGCATTTGAGCAGTGAGGAGATGATGAGAGAATGTGCAGATGTGTCAAGGGCTCAGGAAGAGCTAAGGAAAAAACAACAGAAAATGGGTAGTTTTCACTGGATGCAAAGAGATGCTCAGGATGCCTTCAACCCAAGGGGCCAGCGGGGTGTCAGGGGAGTGAGGGGCGGAGGTAGGGGCCAAAGGGGCTTACACGATATTCCCTACCTTTAATGCCTTTGGTCATGGATTCAGACTTCTCTGATGAGATTGCCAGCCCTGCTTTCCCTGGTAGATACTTGCCAGGTCCTGTGCTTTAACCTTAAGCTGATATTTTGCTTTAGGTGTCACTCTTGTTACCAGCAGCTTTTTGATCTAACTACAGTGCTCTGTCTTTTGGTACAGAATTTTCACCCCATGTGCATGGAAAAGATGTTCATGGTACATTGTAAAATAATAAACAGTTTGCAGAACCACAGGTACAGTATCAGCAAACTTTTGTAAAACTGTAAATATGTTGACATAATTCATTTGAACACACAGAAAACTCTGAAAGTGTGTACACTAAAAAGGAGATAATGGTTATTCCTACATAGTAAACAAGAATAGGTCTTGCCTATTCTATATAATGAGTTTGACTACCTGATGGTTAGGTGCCCCCATTCCTTCCTGGTATACCCTCTGTGGGTCTTCCATAGGTGTTATCAAGTCAGTGGGCACTGGTGTCCCTTCTCCTGGATCCTCTACCATCCTATGGCTCCTCCATGTTTGACTAGTTTTTTGATTGTTGTTCACTGATCTCTGCTTTTTCTTAAAGGATATGGATTATGTTTGCCATCATCATAACATTAAAATACTAAAACCAGAAAACAATACATGATAAGCAATTAACTGTTGGTTAAGCCTGTGATATCATTGAAGACAGTTAAAATTCCATGTCAATATAAAATAAGTAAAATTCACATTACCTTTGGGATTCATAGCTGGAGACGTCTGCCTGGCACTTAAATTCATTTCTATGAGGGTCAGTTTTGTCATCTATGAGCTAGGGAGATCTTATTTATTCCCAAGGCAAGTCCAGGCAGCAGATATAGATGCTGCTCTCTCCTGGGTTCTGCTGTGTCTGCTGGACACTCTTCCCTTTATCCTAAGCTTGGCACCCTTTAATGATAGAGGCTTTAAGATGTCAACTTATTTGGAGTCACTGCTGAGCCAATGTTCACCACCCTTGACCACTATAGTGAAGTGGATAAAGCCTTCTCCTGACTTTGGAGTTACCACCATCAATTGTTTGTATTATCACCCTAGTGCTACTTTGGACCTAATTAATATCCTTGGTTTCTTTTTTTAGCCAAATGATCATTTGTGTACACTTTGTTGATTTGTTTGTGAGATATAAATATTCTCACTAAATTCAGATATTGCAGGCTAGGTCAGAAACAATATCTATGTTTTGTTCTCATAGGTTAATAATATCTTGCCTGCAGATTCTCTTTCCTAGGTTGAGATCACTTACAGGAGTTTCTCATTGGGTCCCACCTTTAGAAGTTCAGTAGAACCATTAACACATTTTGAGTGTTAAATTTTTAGTAGTAAACTTAATGACTTATGCACCAGCTTCATCAGCATCACTTGAGAGATAACCTGAAATAGAATAGTAATTTCAGGCCCTATCTCAGACCTACCAAGTTAAAATCTTCATTTTTACAAGATCCTAAGGTGATTCTTTTGCACACTGAACTTGGAGAAACACCTCCTGAAGGGAAACTATTCTCAGATTCCATACTCCAACTTCACATGAAATCATGTGCCTGAAGGGATAAATATACACATTACACAATATACACATCACAGATTGTTAAATGGACCATGTTCACTAAACCACACTTTTCCTTTCTCCATGCAAAATAGATCTTGAAAAAAATTCAGTGGGTCAAAACCTACAACTTTTCTAATGAAATAGGATATAATAGAGACAAATAGGAAATATCAAATTGCATTGTAGGTAGTTAAGGTGAATATAATTTTGTGAAATTTGTGTTTTATATGTATATGCATGTGGGTATGATAAGTTGTGATGAACAGTTTATTTCTCACTGTAGATTGTGGTAAAAAATGAGAAATATTGGCATTATACTCTTTGAATCTTAGGGCATAGCCTGTCTATTTCATACTCATATTCCTAATGCCCAGCATAATTAAATGACAAATATTAGGCACTTAGTAAAATTGGAAATAATAATGACTAAGTCAGGAATCATGAATTCTTCTCCTTTTAGCCCCTATCTACCTAAATAACCTTGGATAAAGAAATTAAGTTGTTTAGTCAGGGTTTGTTTACAGTCTCCCAAAGATTGGGAAGTCATGAGCTTCACAAGCTGAACAGTGCTATTGTAGTTTACAGTCCAAGCTGACATTATTAAAGAATACATAATCTGCAGCACCAAGGAGAGCTCCTGTTCTGTAGTGGATGGGACTTCTCAACCCCAGGAACATAGACTCTGCAAAGTGAAACTAACCAACTGTGGGATTTGTGCTGTAAAAAGACCCAGTGGGGGATTCTGTACATGCCACAGGAACATAGCTTCACAAAAGGGTGAAAGCATGCTTGCCATCATGGGAGGCCAGGAAGTTGGGAAGATGCCCTGGAGGAGCAGCAGTTGAGCACATACCTGAAGATGATCTTTTTCCACTTAATTTATGGAAATTCAGGCTTTTGATTTTAGAGGCAACATATATCATATTACTTTTGTGCTTGGACTATGCACAATTTCTAGTTTTGAGTGGTAATCAGAGGGGAAAAAAAATCTACAGTATCTACAGTAGGTCCAGGCTATATAGTGCAAGCTTCTCTCACACATCAGTCCCATGACCCTGGAAATCCAATTGTATTGTGTGTGTGTGTTAGACACAGAGGATCCATGAAGTCTTAGAAAGCCCCAGTAGTAGAATTAAACTACACAGTCTTACAGTTTTAGAGCAAAACCATAGCTCTTGGCTTGCTACTAAAACCTAGCACAGACTTAACACTTGATTGTGCAATATTAATTTTCTGCACAAATGAGTCACACATTGTGAACTTGTTTCTGTTTACTCTCCTAAATAATAAAGTGTGTTGTGTGTACCAATTTTCCAGCATTAGTTGAAAATGGCTTTAAAAGTAGGCCTGAGTAAGTCAAGAAGGTACAGGTAAATGAAATGTGCAGTTGGACCAGACTCCTTTGATGTATACTTCTGCTATTTCTGCTCTTTCTCAACCTATGTTCTATAGTGTAGATCTGGAATGTCCTCTATAAGCCAATTGTTAAAGGCTTGTTCCCCAGAGTGGTGCATTTTGGAGGTGATTGAACCTTTAAGAAATGGGGCCTAGTGAGAGGTCTTCCAGTATGTGCCCTTGAAGGGGCTATTGGGACACTAACCCCTTCCTGTCCCTCTTTCTCTCCCATACTCAGTCATGAGATGGATGTGTCTCCTCTGCCACTTGCTCCCATCATGACACATAGTGTTGAAACAGGCTCACAGCAACAGGGTCAGCTGAAAATAAAATAAAGCCTCCAAAACCATGAACCAAAACAAAATTTCCCTCTTTATAAGTTGATTTATTGTAGGTATCTGTTACAGTAGCAGAAACTGAATAAAATACTATGTACATCATGTATGCCCTCATGGGGAGTTCATCATCCTCATGACCACTTAGAAAAAGAGAGACAAACAATGGCTTCATTTATAGATGTATTTTGGCGGTATGTTGCAAGTGAATAGTGCTGAACTATATTGCAACTCAGAGATAATACAAAGAAATGAATGGAAAAAGACATGCTACCAATGAGTAAAATTTTGTGTGGTTCATATGAGTGTCAATTTTTTAATAAAATCTATCACCGTTGGGGGTTTGGATCTATTTTGCCTCATTGGCAATGAATAAAAGATTGAATGATCAGGGACTTGGAGAGATTTACGTTAGAAAATTAATGATGAGATAGCTTTGGGAATAGGTTTATAGATCAGCCACTCATGAAGGGCACACATAGAAAATATATTTATGTTTCAGTCCATCCCATTTATTGATTCTTAGTTTTAATTCTTGAGCTATCAGAGTCTTATTAAGGAAGTTGGGGCTTAATCCCACATGATGAAGATTAGGGCCTATTTTTTCTTCTAATAGATGCAGAGTCTCTGGTTTAATTCCTAGGTCCCTGATCCATTTTGAGTTGAGTTTTGTGCATGGTGAGAGATAGAGGTTTAATTTCATTTTGTTGCATATGGATTTCCAGTTTCCCCAGCACCATTTGTTGAAGAGGCTATCTTTTCTCCAATGCATGCTTTTGGCGCCTTTGTCTAATATAAGATAATTGTAATTTTGTGGGTTAGTCTCTGTGTCAATAAATGGGATGGACTCAAACTAAAAAGTTTCTTTTCAGTAAAAGAAACAATCTGTGAGGTGAATAGAGAGTATACACCTTGGGAGCAACTTTTTACCCCTCATACATCAGATAGCGCACTAGGGTATATAAAGAACTCAAAAAGCTAAGCACCAAAAATAACAAATAACCCAATCAATAAATGGGCCAAGGACATGAACAGACACTTCTCAGAAGATGATGTACAATCAATCAACAAATATATGAAAAAATGTTCATCATCTGTAGCAATTAGAGAAATGCAAATCAAAACTACTCTAAGATATCATCTCACTCAAGTCAGAATGGCATCTATTATGAAGACAAACAACAATAAGTGTTGGCGAGGGGGTAGAGCACAAATTTTCATATCTGTGTATATAAAGTATGTTCACACCAATTCGTGTCTTCATACATTACTTTGGATAATGATGTCCATCATATTCCACCATCATTGTTAACCCCCGCCCCCTCCCTTCTCCTCCCACTCCTCTGCCCTATCTAGAGTTCATATATTCCTCCCATGCTCCTCCTCCCTACCCCACTATGAGTCAGACTCCTTATATCAGAGAAAACAGTGATGTGTGGGGAAAAAGTACATTCATACACTGCTGGTGGGACTGCAAATTGGTGCAGCTAATATGGAAAGCAGTATGGAGATTTCTTGGAAAACTGGGAATGGAACCACCATTTGACCCAGCTATTCCTCTCCTCAGTCTATACCCAAGGACTTAAAAACAGCATACTACAGGGACACAGCCACATCAATGTTTATAGCAGTACAATTTGCAATAGCTAAACTGTGTAACCAACCTAAATGCTGTTCAGTAGATG